TTTGCTTTGACCATGAATGGCAATTTGATCTGAATAATCAATAAAATTTTTGTGTTTTTTAATGGTCCAGAAAATCATAACATACTCTCTCACATGTCAGCTTTCCTGAAATAGAATCGTATGAAACTCAGTTTCCATTTGATCTTAAGGCATTTAAGTCAAACAAATGAAGACTTGAAGCACAAAGGGGACTAAGTCAAACAAATGAAGACTTGAAGCACAAAGGGGACTAACAGGAGGGGGTGGGGAATATGTTTAATAAGTAATGTATTTATTTCTGTATAGGAAATTTTTTAAACTTAAACTAACAAAATTAAGCATTTAAAAATAAAGTAATAAATAAGACCTATAGTCCTAATATAAGTAAAACAACTGCTTTATTTAAGTGCATAGTACTATGTTTGTTATCGTAATAAAGAAACAGATAAAAATTGCAGCAATATTTAGCTAATTGTTTATGTTTTTAAAAATTCTCTGTGAAAAGATACTTCATCTCGTTAAGTAGACCTTCCTAAGCAGCATTTTGCTATCAAAGTATACAGCCAAATTCCTACAGGCACATGAAAAAAGTACTTGATTGACCATTGATTTGTGACATTAGTTGTTACTTTATTACACATTTATTTATAAACAGGATCTTATGTTTTGGGGTTTTAACATTTTTTAGTTATTCTTTGACAATTTCCTACATGTCTATAGTCTATTTTGAGCATATTTCCTCCCCATTCCCCTCTCCTATTCCCCTCCTCACTCTCTCTGAACTCCTCCTTATATTATCCCCAACTATTACCTTTTCTACTTTCATGTCTCTTTTTGTTACTGAGTTTAATTAAGGTTGCTTGCACGAGCATGGCTGTGGGGCTGCTTAGTAGAACATGGCGTACACTCCTGAAGAAAAGCAATTCCCTTTCCCCTAGCAACTATTAACTACCCATAGCTCCTCAACTGGAAGTGGGACCTCATGAACTCTTCCACCATAGACCAGGGAATATTGAGGGGGTCAATCTTGTGCAGGTAATCACAGTTGCTGTGAGTTTAGGATCTTATGTTTTAAAATTGTATTTCTTAATTCATTCATTATTTTAAAGATACAGTCTCATTGGATAGCCTGAGCTGACCTGAAATTCACTATGTAGCCCAGTTTGGCTTCAGACTCTTAAAAAATAATCCTCCTGTCTCAGCTTCCTGAGTTGTGGGATTACAGGTATGAAGCATCATGTTCAGCTCTCAGAAAAGGTCTTTCTCTGCAGCATAGACTGGAGCTTGCTATACAGCCAATGCTAGTCATAAAGGCTTGCTTATCTTGCCTCCTAAATTACAGCTGTGTGTCATATGACTAGCTCCTTTTTCCTTTTATGTTGTTCCTTTGGCAATACTGTTTCATTTCTGATCTTATACCAACACAGTGCTGACACTGTTAAACAGACATGGATACTGATCAATATACTGTCTTTTCTAGTGGAAGGTCATATAATTGACGCTGATGTCAATTTATATGGACAATCACAGCTACAGGAGCAGGTGTTTCTCTCCCAGATCCATCCATACCATACATTTTTACTCAGGGTGCCAGGGACTTAGCAGCCTTAGGAATTTTTGTGCTGATGAGCCTCAGATTCCCTTGGACAATCTGAAGATAATTCTAAAAAAGCTATGACTCACTGCTGATGGAGTCAACTGACATTCAGAATTCTGCAAATCCTGTGCTGCCTGCTGCGAGCAGTTGCTTATATGCCCCAGATGCTTACAATCACTTCGTTCCAGGCTCCTTATACAGCAATTGCTTGGATTCCTCCAACAGGAAATTGATACAGGCTTAATTAAAATATCCTATGAAAATACTTCTCATGATTGTGAACGTCACTGTAGAAGGAACTGCTGAATTTTAACAGGAGTTCTTCTATGCGTTGGCTTTGATTGTGGCAGCATGTTTTAAATAGAATAGTGTTTGTCATCACTGGCTTTCATGACCACCCCCATAATCTCCAAGAGAAACACGAGCGTCTGTCCTTGTCACAAGGCAGCTCCAGTAGCAGAGCTTCTCACGAACCTCTGCATTGACATTGCAATCTGCATCTTTATAAGCTTCCCAAGTGCCATCACCATGTGTGCCCTGGAGGTTAATTATTTCACTGGAGGCATGGTTCCTGCAGTGTCACAACTTGTTAGTAGTTCTCTGCATTAGAAGGAAATGGCTGCGCTACTGAAATGTGTGACTAATCATTGTAAAGATGGTGGGGCTGCCACACCCAGGCCCTGTTTACAAGTCTGCCACACCCATCCCCAGCTGCTTACTCTAACTTACCAAGAGGCAGAGCCAGCTCTATTTATTTTATATTTAGCAGCTCTGAGTGGTGGCTGCTAACAGCTCGCAGCTGTAGTGTTCTGTAGAGAATTGCTCTCAGCTGGTGGCCACCTTGCCCAGCGATGCCTACAAGGTTATGCACTCCACAATACAGCCAATGACTGACTGCTATGTATAGATTGAGCATTGATGTTCAAAATATCTAGAATATTAAATGCTCTGAAATGATGACACTCGAAAAGGTTTGGTATTTTTTCATCCTAATTAAGAAAGCTCAACATGTAAAGTCTATGTGAATAATTCAAAATCCACAAGACTTAGAAATCTCAATGCTTCTTGTACAAAGCATTCTACTCAATGGCTACTTAGCCTGTAGGAACAAAAGCCCTTTGCTACAAGGTAGAAGAGACTGTGATGCTGTCCTTGCTCTAGGGATCCCTGTAGGATCAGGCTGATGTTAGGTAGCTGAAGACCTACTCTATGAGATGGAATCCATATCTGACGCTTCTTGGGTAACCAAGAACCTGAGACTACATAGCCCAGGAACCTAGGGTAAAACCAAATAATACTGGTCTAAAAAACATTATCGCAATAAAATAACTCTTAGTGACATTCTATTATAGATAAGTGCCCTGCTCAACAATCATCACAGAAGGTTTTTCCTGCAGCAGATGGGAACAATACAAAGACCCACAGCTAGGCAATATGTAGAGTTTGCAGGACCTGGGAACACTCAGCCCTAAATGGGATGTCTCCATCAAATCCCTCCCCTCAGGGACCAGGGAACCCTTCAGAAGAGAAGGTGAAAAGACTGTAAGAGCCAGGGGTGATAGAGGACACCAAAGAAACAAGGGCCTCTAAGTCACAGAATAGATGCAAATATGAACTCACAGAGACTTAGGAAGTATGCATAGGGCTTGCACAGGTCTGCACCAAATGGGGTCCTAGAATTGAAAGAAGTGGACACATGTCCTCATCCCTAACCTAGAAGCTTTTGATATCCACTTGAAAATGAATATTTAGTTTTCTCACTGTGGAAACATACTACTCTATTTTTGCTTTTTTTATTAATTTATTTTTTACATTCCAATCCCAGTTCACGCTCCCTCCTCTCCTCCCGCTCCCCCCCCCACTCCCCTACCTCTCATCTACTCCTCAGAAAAGGTAAGGCCTCCACTAGGAAGTCTACTAAGTCTGTCTCATCATCTCCTTGAGGCAGGACCAAGGCGCCTCTCCACCCCCACACCCCTGTGTCTAGGCTAGGCAAGGTATCTCTCCACATAGAATGGACTCCACTAAGTCAGTTTGTGCACTAGTGTTAGATCTTGGAACCACTGCCAGTGGCCTTATGCATTGTCCCAGTCACATCATTGTTACCTATATTAAGGGAGTCTAGTTTGATCTTATGCAGATTTGCCATTTGTCAGATCTGAGTCAGTGATCTCTCACTAGCTTGGGTCAGCTGATTTTGTGGGTTTCCCCATTATGGTCTTGACTCATTTGCTCATATTATCACTTTTCTCTCACTTTGGTTGTACTCCAGGAGCTTAGCTAATTAGTTAGTTATGGATTTCTGCATCTGCTTCCATAAACAGACTACTCTTAAGGGTAGACTGCTTGCCCAGCACTACATGGCCAACAGAAAATGAACTCAGTGGCATCATTGGAGGTTCCTTGTCTCATAATTTTATGTCAAGGTTTTTTATCTATCTTATTCTTACTTGATTTAATTTATATATGTATGTTGTTCTCTCATTTTACCACAAATGTCCTTTGCATATATGTTATGGTTCCCAGTTTAGTGTTTTAATGGGATTCTTTAGTTTGTGATATAGACCCTAAATGGGTCCATTTCTGTTTCTTGTGCCTTTTCTTGGGTTCTTTTCTTCTGCTTGTTTGTTTTATCCAATTCTGATGTATTAGTTTTTGTTTGAGCTTATTTTATTTTTATTATTATCCCTCAGAAGTCTGATTTTTGTTTTGTTTTATGAGAGACAGAAAGGGGATAGATCTGGATGGGAGGGGAGTTGGGGAGGAACTCAGAGGAGTAGATTAGGGAGAAACAATTATTGGAATATATTATGTGACAAAAAGCCTATTTTTAATAAAAGTCAAAATAGAATAAAGAATTAATGACAACATAATTTAAATGTGGCCTATCTTCACTAAGTTTGAAGGTCAATATTAAGAAAAGAAGGTTGTGGCCTACCCATGAGTTTTTATGGTGTGTGTGTGTGTATGTGTGTGTGTGTGTTTCTTGTGCGTTTACTTCTTAGTGAAAATTATACCCACTTGTTTTATAAACATATGGAGATAAATGGTGGAGTTGGGTATGTGAGGAGGTGGGGAGAAACTGGGATGGGGAAAAGGAAACCATGATCCAAATATGTTGCATGAAAAAATTGTTTTCAATAAAAAAGAATGATATATAAGCTAATAGAGCAGGGTTTCATAAAGATTTGCTTTTTGCTTATTCAATGATGGGAGAGATATGAGCATTTTGCTATCCAAAGGGAAAGATGTCTCAGACTCACTTATGAATATTTAGATAGTCAACGATAAAATTAAAATGTTCATAATTTTACTATAAAAAGCTTTCTACTATACAAATTCTGACATTTGTAACAAGCTAGGAAGTATGTGTGACCTCATTCTAAGAGAAATGCAATAACTCCAGCCTGTTTCTACCTCTCAGTAGACATGTAAAAGCTGGACACAGGGCAGATCTTTGAAGACTCTGAAAAGCAAACACTGGCCATCAGATGGAAGAAAACCCCGGCCAGAAAGTGAAGTACTATCAAATTGATGCTGATACCAAAGTTGTTAGCCATGGCCAAGGCTAGAAGAAGCCCCAAATCTTTACCAAGGTAAAGTACCAACTTTCTCTACAAAGATGGAAAAAGCTTATGTGGGGCCTTCTATTTCAGCCTCAATGAAAAAGATAGATTCACAGAGGCTCAAAGAACATACTGGGGTCCATGATTTGCCTGTATCCCTTCTCTGTTTCCATGAGTTCTGGTCAATCTTGCACTAGTGGTTTTTCTTGTCCCTCTGCTCTCCTAATGTGTGTGGCCCCAGACATAGCATAGCATCATTAGTTTAATTCCTTAGATCTAACTCATATGTGTGCCACCCAGTGGCCTATCTGGGATCTCAGTAGTGTCTTATCCCATAATTAGATCTCAACAATTTTGGTAATTGTTTAATGTCAGATCTCCCCTATGAGTTCATGGGCAATTTTAAGGAATTGTTTCTCCCGTGATTCCCAAACTTTCCAAATTACTTTCTTCCCTGAAGCTTATTTTGTTCAGTCTTTGACTTCAGAAAAGTGAGAATGTAACTAATAATGCTGTAGAGCAACGATCAAAGAAACAGTGCTAAACACGAAACAGATGGTGAAGCTATCAACGACTTTAAAACACCTATTACTTAAATACTTCAAGAAAGGGATGGAAAGATGGCTCAGCAAATGAAGGTACCTACCACTACCAATCCTGATGACCCCAATTCAATACATGGGATTCCCATATCGAAGGAGAGAACTGACGTAGTATACCCCCATACAAAATAAATAAAAATATAATAAAATTGTAAAAATACACTTAGAAGGACTGGAAAAATAAATGGAAAGAGACAATGTTAGTAAAGAAATAGAGTATGCATAGAGGAATCAAATGGATATTTTTACAAGTGAAAAATAATCAGCATATGGGCTCAATAGGAAAAAGTTGCCCTTATAAAAGATATAGCAAGTCAGTCCAGGGGAACACTCCTCAACTGCTGGTAGGAGTGCCAATTCATACAGACACTTTGGAAATCAGTATGGAGATTCCTCAGGAAAAATGGGAATCACTCTACCACAAGATTCAGGAATTCCACTCTTACGCATATATCCAAAAGATGCCTATTCATCAAACAAGGACATCTGTTCCACTATGTTCATAGCAGCATTATTTGTAATAGCCAGAACCTGGAAGCAACCTAGATGCCCCTCAACTGAAGAGTGGATAGGGAAAATGTGGGACAATGCATTCAGCAGAAAAAACAATGGAATCTTTAATTTGCAGGCAAATGGATGACACTAGAAGAAACCTGCTGAGTGAGGTAACCAAGTCGCAAAAAGACAGACATGATATGTACTCACTCATATGTGGATTTTAGGCATGAAGCAGGGGCATGCCAGACTACAATCCCACCACCAGAGAGTCTGGGAAATAGGGAGGACCCTAAGAGAGATATGCATGGTACCCCAGAGAAGGGGAATAGAATAGGATCTCCTGAAGGAACTGGGAGCATGAGGGAGGGGAGAGGGAACTGGGAAAAAGAGAGGGGGAGAAGAGAAGGGGAGAGGAAGACATGGGGGAGCAGGAAGGTTGAGTCAGAGGAAGAATAGAGGAGAGCAGTATGAGAGATACCATAATAGAGGGAGTCATTATAGGTTTGAGGAGAGATCTGGCACTAGCAATATTTCCAGAGATCTACAAGGATGACACCAACTGACAATCTCAGCAATAGTGGAGAGGCTACCATGAAAGCCTTTTCCCGATAATGAGATGGACAACTACCTTATATGCCATCCTAGAGCCTTCACCCAGTGGCTGAAGGAAGCAGAGGCAGACACTCACACCTAAACACTGAACTGAACTCATGGAAACCAGTTGCAGAAAGGGAGGAGTGATGAGCAAAGGGGTCAAGACTGGGCTCGTGCAACCCACAAAAACAGCTGACCTGAACAAGGGGGAGCTTATGCACCCCAGACTGATGGCTGAGAGACCAGCATAGGATTGATCCAGACCTCTTGAATGTGGGTGTCAGTGAGGCCTTGGAATCTTTGGTGCCTCAGGTACTAGATAGTATTTATCTCTGGCATCCAAATGGATTTTGGGAGCCCATTCCACATGGAGGGATGATCCCTCAGCCTGGACACATGAGGAGGGTCTAGGCCCTGCCGGGGTGATATGACAGACTTTGGAGATCCCCTATAAAGGGCCTCACCCTCCCTGAGAATGAAGTGGGGATTGAATGGGGGGTTGGGGAAGTTGGTGCTGGACTGGGGAGGAGGGGAGGGAGAGGGTGCTGGGATTGATATGTGAAGCAAGCGTGTTTCTAATTTAAATTTTAAAAAATACGCAAAATTGTTGATTAACCAATAGCAATCTTAAATAGGATTAACTCAAAGAAATTCATTCTCAGATACACCAGACTCAAATTACTAAAAATTAGTGGGAAAAACTCATTAAACAATCAGAGAAATAATATAGTGACTACAAGAGAATAACAATTTGAGTATCAGAAAACATTTCTCATTAGGTTTTTGTGCCAGCCACAAAGATGTTCTGGGAAAAAGAACTGTCAACCCAAATCCTTAAGGAAAAAAAGAAACCAAGATATTCTCAGATGAAGGTGAACAAAGATAATTTGGTGCCAAGAGACAGACGTTTCCTGAGAAAAATGTTATTGGGAAGTAACATTCTGATATTCCAAGTAAATATCAGAAATGAAAGAGAAGCAATATGAATAGTTGACACCTGGACAGATACAATATTCTCCTTCTTGATTTAGTTTTTAAAGTATTTCTTTTATTTTTTGACATAGTAAGATAATTAATGTATTCCCTCCTCCCTCTCCTCCTTCCCAACCCTCCCATGCCCTGTCCCTTGCTTTGTTTTAGATTCATGCCCTCTTGTACTAATAAGTAGTTGTTATCGCACACACACACTTCATGGCATATGTGTGGGGCCAGAAGACAACTTTGTGATGCCATTTTTCTACCTTTACGTGGGTTCTTCAGACTAAACTCAGGTTGTTAGACTTGAATGGCAAGTGCCTTTGGGTCCTGAGCCATCTCATCCACCATCGTCCATTATTTATGATTTGAGGCACACCTTCTTGCTATGATTATTATACTCATTAAGATGAAACACTCCATGAGATGTGCAGAACACAGTACCTGGCATATAATAGTGGCTATTCAATGAGCATAGCTCCATTTTCTTTGTTTTCATGCCTTGGGGCGATTTTTTACTAGAGAAGTAGAAGGTAAACTTGAGGTTTCAGCTAAGATTTTATGAAGATATGTAATTATCTCGACCTTGAGGGTAAAGTGAAATATGTCAGAGAGAAAGGAAGAAAAAGGGCCCTCCTACACACTAGCAATAACACAGCATGAACATAATCTTTGAAATCTCAGACAGCTAGAGGTTGGATTAATAAATAAAGAACACTTAATAAGAAGGATATTGATTTAAAAATCTAGCCTTGAAGAAACACAATAGGAAACGTCTTTATTTTATGTGCATGAGAACTGATTTAATACTATCTATCTTATTATCACATGGAGAAGTAGGCAAAGCTTCATCTTGATGCCTTTCTGTCACTCAGTTTTACTATTTTTTTATTTCAGCATCACTACCAAGGTGTCCAGCATAATGCCCATTTGGGAAGAAAGTTGGTTGAAAAGTATATAACCATACTAACAAATGTTTGACAGTGGGGTAACACTTTTGGCCCACTATTAGTAATTAATCATGGGGAAAGACTTTAATGATTGGATTTTCAGCCTTTCTGTTGAATTAGAAAGATTGGTTTTATTAATAAAGCTACTCACTCGAATCATTCCATAAAGATAACTCCCCACTTGATCTATGGGTGGGAAGAACCAATTAGGTAAGAATGTGATGTAGTTTCTCTTGTTTATATGTTATAGATGAATGACAGGGTGTAACATTATAGGGATTCCTGGTTGAAATAGCTCTAGATACAAAAGAATATAGAAGCCACTAGGCAATGCCAAGGCCTACCCAAAATGGCATCAAATCCAGAGTACCAGAGGTATGACTGCCCGCCATCCTCCAAGCATTTGATGCTAGGAAAGATGAGATTCAAAGCAGGAACTAGTAAAGAATAACCAAGTAGAAAGGATACAGCAAAAGACTTCTAATGCTATGGGGAAATTTTAGATAAATATCAGAGAATCAGTAGCGATTAGAATATGAAAGTTATGAAGCTATTAGAATAAAGAAATCATGAGACAAATTACCAGAGTAGGTAGTAAACCCGCCATTTAGAGACTCATTAGATGCTCATTCATCTTTAAGACAGGATTTTTAAAAACTGAGATCTACCTTGTGTTACCTCTAAAGGATGAGCTAAATGACCTATGAGAGGATTGTATTTAAATGCTAAAATCCATCTGCTAGGATAGAAATTAAATCCAGTAAGCATTCTGCTCAGGAAAAACAAAAAACTCTTTATAAGAGCAAGCTCTATTTGTTCTTGCTTTCTTTATCTTCATCCCTTCCAAATTAAAAAACTAGATCAAGCCTATCTCAAAATAATTTTCTTGATATCAATCTCTAAGAATGGGATTCATGGCCTAATATGCCAAAAATGTCAAACAAACTTCACTAGGCTTCATATTTTTAAAGGTTACCTGAACTTAGGTTGAAAAATACCATAAATCTGCATACAGAGGTATGTGGATGACTAGGAATGACTGTTCTGCTCAGGCAGGGGTATTAGAACACAGTTAGCAGAGAGTTCCTACTCCTGCTGCATAGCAGCCCAAGGAAGATTGGCAATTCACATCAGTTTTAAAAGGTGATCTCATGAGGATGAATGCAATTCGGTGTATTGTATGATTGATAAATATATAAGTAAATAAATTAATTTTTTTTAAAAAAATAGAAAGTGAAAACAAAACTGACATCATTGTAGTCATGTACCACACTGCTTAACTTAGCTGAGGTCATAGGTAGTATTCATTTAATATGTGATTATGGAACTAATTCCACAGCACACAGTTGACCTATAGTTATAATACATTCCCAAAGCTATAGTAACCATCACAAAGCTACACTGTCTATCA